TTCGATCCTCAATCCGCACCCAAAATTCTTCAAATGGATTCTCTCCTTTTCTGTTTTCGCCGATTCCCGATATCTCCACCATGGTTTCAATCTCTTTCACTGGGGTTTTTGTGCTCAATTCCACAATAAAACAGTCACTATCCGATATCGACAACCACCAGTCGATTCACTTTAGTAAGCTCCCACTTCCCTGCAAATTAATTCAAGATTTTAACCTCTTTTTTCCTTTCTTCATTTGGATTCGAGAGTTTTCTTGATATGATTCATCATGGGGATCGAATTCCGTTCTGTTTTGGCGTGAATGGGATTGGAATTCCTTCCGAGGTTGAAGCTGCTGAAGTTGCCTCGATTTTAGTTGGCAGTTGAACACACTGTTGAATTGCTGAAACTGATTTCATTTCGAAATTTGAGTTTCGATTGGTGCGGAAAGGAGTTTTTGAGTTGAGGATATTTGGAGAATGATGTCTTCTGGAATAAACTTGGTGATGACTGTGATTGGATTCACTGTGAGCACTTTGTTCATCGTGTTCGTCTGCACAAGGCTTGTTTGTGCTCGGATTCATCTCAATGCTTCAAGGCGCTCCTTCCCAATCGCTTCTAGATCAGATCTCAGTGGGGTGAGCATGTTTTTTTCTTGTTTAATTCGCTTCCAGATTTGATGTGGATATATCTATTTTGATTTTGTTCTTGTTGGTCGCTAATTTCTCTTGGAACTCGTCTCCCTTTTTGTTACTCTTTCTAGGCTTAATTTCTGTATGTTCATATGCCATAGATTTATCACTGGAAACTGGATATGATTGCCTCTCTGCATTATAGTTAAAGTTCCATCACTTCAATACTTGCTTTTCTGCCATTTCATGTAGTTTCAGGATTCATTTCATGCTGTGGTTTTACTTTGTTTCGATTTCGCCCCCTTTTTTCGCTCTCTTTTCGGTCTGCCGGGGCCTATTTCATGTATTTGGATATGGTGTTGTTCGGTTATCCCTCTTACATAGTTCTGCTAATACGTTTTTTGTGAAACCACGGATCTCCACAATGGTATGATGTTGTCCACTTTGAGCATAAGCTCTCTTACTTTTGCTTTTGGTTTCCCCCAAGAGGTCTCGTACGAGTGAAGATGTATTCTTGGTCATCCTCTTAATTAGCCTACATGGGACTACTCCTTTCAATAATCCTCAACAATTCTTCCCTCAAACAAAGTACACCATTTAGCATCTCTTGAGGTCTCTTATATGGAGCTCTCGAACAACCTTTCCTTAATCGAGGCTCGACTCCTTCTTTAGAGCCGTCGAACAAAGTACACTCTTTAGTCACTTTTTTATTCGATACTTGAGGATTTGATTGGCATGGCTAAGTTAAGGGCATGACTCTAATACCATGTTAGAAACCACGGACCTCCACAATGGTATGATATTGTCCACTTTGAGCATAAACTCTCGTAACTTTGCTTTTGGTTTCTCCAAAAGACTTCATACTAACGAAGATGTATTCCTTACTTATAAACTCATGATCATCCTCTTAATTAGCCAACGTGAGTCTACTTCTCTCAGTAATTCTCAACAATTTCTTGATAGCCTCATTGTCGCTTTTAGTCGGGAGGTTATAATAAAGGGTCTCCGAAAAAACTCAATTCTTGTTTGTTCTCATAGGCAGTGGTTGTGCATTCATATTTCACAATTCACATTTCTACTCCTTTTTCTTTTTCATATGCTACTTTTAGACTTTGTTCAGGCTTTAGGTTGATTCGTTTATGGATATTTCTTTATTTACACGTCGAACTTCTTTGTTGCAGCTGGAACGGGGATTACACGGTCTAGAGCCTTTGGTTGTAGCCAACTTTCCAACCAAGAAGTACAGTGATGAATACTTCTCGTCTATGAGAAATTCTCAGTATGTGCCCCCTTCAATTCAGTCTCTCATTTCATTCGTTTTCATGATTTTTCAAGAAAATCCCTATCATTTTAATGTAAAGCTTAATGACTTTATCAATGAAAGGAGAGAGACATGTGACTGCATGCTTTACCTATGGGAAAATGATGAGCTTGCAATGAGTTGGTCTTGTAGTTGATTGGTTTTTCCCTAAGTTACTAGAAATCGTGACTTTTTTATGAGACGTTTTGATAAGTTGGCTTTAAACATAGTCCTAATCAGCCTGGGCCCTTAGCAATAGATGTCGATAGAGGCATTACTCGTTAAAATCTCGTATGGCTTGGAACAAACGATAACGTGTTATGGACATGATTCAATCATGCTCCATTAGTTTCACTCTACCTTGGAGCTTTCTGAAGATATTCTTATACAATATTGAGTTCTCTTAGCTTGAGTATACCTAAAGTGTTAAGAACTTAAAACCCCTTATGCAGATCTTCTTTGCTCCCTAGCTCTCATGAAACAACCTTTGCTTGCAATATTTTGAATTAACTCGGGCTCGAGCTCCCTATTCTGGTTGCATTATGTTTAAAGAAACAATACACGACCAAGGGAGAACTCGAACTCCCTATTCTTTCCATTACCAGAGATCCCAAATGATCAAAAGATGTCTGCTCCCCTCTTGTTAACAAACAACTGAACTAAATGAGCCCAACTCTTAAGTTCATTACAGAAGTCCTCTCCCACACTCACAAATCAAGCCTTACTACGACTCCTCCAGCCCTTCTCCTTCCATACAATTCCACTCTAGGAGGAATATTGAATCTATTGAGCTAGGTTTCAAATGTGTACCACACCATCTTGATCATCTATGTGATCCCAAACTGATTGGTTGTAATGGCCTAAGCCCATCGCTAGCAGATATTATCCTCTTTGGACTTTTTATTTGGGCTTTCCCTCCAAGTTTTTAAAACGCGTCTGCTAGAGAGAAGTTTTCACACTCTTATAAAAAAATGTTTCGTTCTCCTCCCCAACCGATGTGGGATCTTACCTTAGTGATGTTAGAGAAGTGGCAGGTATCATGAAATGTATGCATGGCCGTGGATGCTATTCAAGAATTCTTCTTATAAATGGGAGAAGTTTCTGTAGAGTACCATTCCTGAATCTCTCTCTTTCTCTCTCTCTCGTAGACTCGTACTTAGATAACACAAATGGTTTCTGCTGTGCGTGATTTTGTTGTGATTCCTTAGCGGAAAAAAAGACGAGATGGTATTTTGATTTGAGGAAACAAGGTGGATTTCCGAATCTAGTCCAAAAAGTGATGATATTTAAGATTGTGATTACAATTCCTTTTGGTTTTATGTGATGCTACGTTCACGTTTGTTTAGCAAATCATGGAAAAACACAACACAGCCAAATTAGATTCTGTTTTGAATGGCAGATGCACAGTTTGCTTGGCAGACTATCATAGTGAAGACTTATTGCGCATTCTTCCCTACTGTGGACACTCCTTCCATGTGAACTGCATAGACATATGGCTGCATCAAAACCTAACATGCCCGGTTTGTCGTATATCGTTACGTGACGTCCCAGACAAGAAACGAACGATGCAACCCTTGTTTAGTTCAGCAATTCGCTCCCATTACAACCTCAACTCAGATGCCTATGCTCATCCCTGCCACGAGTTCCCATTACAAGACCTCGAAAACAGTGGGTTGGATCAACCAATCCAACAAGAGAACCGCCGCTCACCTAGGACCAATGGAGCAGCAGAAGCCCTTGAGAACACGTCCTCGTTCATCATCAAAGGTAACCAGAATAGTAAAAATGTAGAAAGCCCATCAAATGCTTGAACTTCCCTTAACTATGTGCTTAGAAAGATTGTGTGTCCTGTTGTTTACCACTGTGTATAAGCGCTGTTTGTAGTGAATTATTAGCTCATCTCTCTCTCTCTCTCTCTCTCTCTCTCTTATATTTGAACCAATGCATGCTGAGAAGAGGCTTTTAAGTGTTCAGCTAAATTGTAGGATCAGAATCTCTAATTCTGCAGGCTGCTGTTATTGTGTTTTGGAGTTTTCATGTAGTTTTCTGTGGGCTATTTAGAACAGAACTTGACCCAAATTCTCTCTCTCCACCTTCAGCTGTTGCATTAAATATGGCTCCAGCTTTTGGCACCATCTCGTGGATTCCAGTTGACCCTCACAAGCCTTTATTATAAGCATTTTCTTTTCTCTCTCTTCCTTTGTTTTCGAGACACCGGATAATTTTAGATTTAAGTCCATTGCTAGCGGATACAATAGAACATTTATTTTTTGAGTTTTGTTTTCAGGTTTCTAGAGATTACTTGTTAAGAGAGGTTTCTATATCTTTATAAAGAATGTTTCGTTCGCCTTCCTTCCCAATCTACGGGAGATCTCAAGATTCAATTCTCGGTGGCATGCATTTATAGCTATGGTACCTTCAAAGTTGTTTCTTTTTCAGGTCAGCTTCAAGTGGTTGAGGGTTGGGTAAATTCAAATTCCTTTTCTGGGGTTGGAGTAAGAATATAAGGGAAATGGGTCATTTTCCAATTTTGGAAAAAGGAGAGAGCTTTTAATTCTTCTCTCTTTTGGTTATTTAAAAAATACTCTTCAATTTTAAAGAGATTTTTTTAAAGAGATTTGAAGAATACTTTTAACTTTATTTTATTTTTTTAAACATAGTAAAAAGTATTTCTCAACTTTTAAAAATGTTAAATAAAAATTTAAAAATATTTTTGAAACAAAGTTAAATGTATTTTTTCAAAATAGTAACCATTTCTATGCAAAATTAAAATATTTTTAGATTATTTTAAAAAAAATTAAAGGATATTATAGAGATGATAAATGACATAGATAGTAGAGATAGCAACCAAGATTGACTCGTGGACATCTAAAAATAGTTGATATATTAGATTTAAATTAAATTTTATATCTGGTGAATTAATTCGACAACAAAATTAAAGATTTATAATATTGCATCATTAAAATTATTTTAAAGACTAAATAGATAAAACTTAAAATTTAAATTTAATTCAGATATAACAATTAAAATAAGAGAAATAAAATAGAAAATAAAAATAGGAGATATAATATAGTAATCTGCAAAAATAGGTTATGAAAAGGAAAATATATTAACTCAATAATTTCCATTACAAAGAAACGTAGCCATTAGGACATCATCTTCTTCCTCTTCTTCAACCTCTGGTTCTGGCAATGGCTCTGATCGGATTCTTCATCACAACAGTAAACTCATACTTCTTCGTAAAATCCAATTCACTCTTCGGTGGATACGAACTCCATTCGAATTCCTGAACCAATCTCGCTAGCATCAGATGAACGTGAATCGTCGCCATTCCCAATCCAGGGCAAATTCTCCTCCCAACTCCGAACGGAATCATCTTCAGTCCTTTACTCCCCGTCATATCTGCATCTCCCTCCCCGGCAATGAATCTCTCTGGATCGAATTTCTCCGGATTCTTCCATACTTCCGGATCGTTGCTGATTCCGGCCAAATAAACCTCCACGCTCGCCTCCACCGGTATGTCGTATCCGCCAAGCTTCGTCGTCTCGATCGCCGAATGTGTCAGCGAAAAGTACGTCGGCGGATGCCTTCTCAGAAGTTCCTTCACCACCGCTTGAAGATACGGCAATTTCTCAATGTCCGATTCCTCTACTTTTCTGTCGCCTACTAATTTCTTGATTTCTTCGTGTAGTTTGTTCTGAATGTTAGGGTTTGCGATTAGCTCTGCGATTCCCCATTCGATCGCGGTGGCGGTCGTATCCGTGCCGCCGTTGAGGAATTCGGAGCAGAGAGTGACTAATTCCGCGTCGGTTGGGGAAGATTCCCGGCCGTCGACCTTGAGATTGAAGAGCGTGTCGAGGTACGAAAATGAAGTAGCGGTAATGTCTGAACCTGGATTTTGAAGTGCTTTTCTCCTTCGATTGATGAACTGTACGACGAATTCGATCTGCTCTGTTCTCACTTCCATGGCGCGTTTCCTCTGTTTTGAGAAAAACGGCCTCAAAGTCGGGAGGAAATCGTCGATTCTCGGATCGACGGTGAGCAGCACAGTTTTAAGAACCTGATCCATTTTCTCGACGGATTCCTCGTCCATTTCTAATCCGAAGCACATCGCCAAGAGAATACAGAACACAGCGAATCGAGCGTTCTTCAACACCCAAACGACTCCACCGTTTGCATCGGCGTCGGCTCTGATGCGTCGAACGAGTTTATCCATAGCGTTCTTTCTCACATCGCGAAACTCCTGCAAGCGGCTGGGAGAGAGCATGTTCTCCACCATGTTCCGGCGGAGGGAGCGCCAGAGGGAGCCGTACACTGCAGCATTGACGGAGAACTTATTGCTACTGAAGACGATTCGGGTAGGGTTTTCGGCTGGGCGACTGGCGAAAGTAGAGCCACGCTTGATTAGAGCTTCGTGAATGAGGTCGGCGCCGGACAAAATGATCATGGTGCGGGATCCCATCTGGAGAGTGAAGATTGGGCCGTAAATCTGGCGGATGTCTTCAACGTATTCGAAGAAATGCTTGCCAGAACGAGCAACCTGGAAGAGGTTTCCGACAACCGGCCAGCCACGGGGTCCCGGCGGGAGGTTGAGTCGTGGCTTAGAGGAGCGTTTTTGGATGAGGAAGAAGATGAATGCAGAGACTACGAAGGCCATAATCGAGAAGAGAAGTCGCAGGTAGTGATCGGAGAAAGAGGAAGACGCCATTGTTAAACAGAGAGACGAGAAGAATAAGAATGTTCGGATGAAGACGGGAGGAACAATTTCAGACGGATATTTATAGGCGACCGAAGGACTAAGGAATTTTTTCTTTTTTAATATATATCTATATATATATATGTATATGTATATGTATATGTATATGTATGTGTGTGTATATATATTGGATAGCTCAAGTTTTTATGTTTTTTTAGTGTGTGATGAGAAAATAATTTTTTAAAAAGTATTTTAACTTATTAAAATATTTATTATTTATATAACTATTTTTATTTTTATTTTTTGTTTTTTTAGAAATATTTATAGTTCTATTAGAGTCACGAGCTTGTTGTAGTCGGTCCAACAAGAGAGAATCTTGCTACTTACTATATCCCCGCGTTCTTGCAAAGGAGTTTTATTTACCAAACAACTTACTATTTCGGGAAAGCGAGAGATCTCATTGTTCAAGAAATGCTCTTTCCTCTTGACCAAATAGGATCGTCCAGTTCCTATAAAACCTATCACTAAAATACCCCTACGGGGAACCGGGCTAAGTGGAGCAAAAAAGATCTTTGAAAATTCTTAAATATTTAGTAATAATTGGAAGTTTACAATGTAAAATAATATAAATTGTAGGTGTTAAATGAACACGACTATCCATAGTATGATATTGTCCACTTTCATCAAGCTCTCATGGCTTTGTTTTGTGCTTCCGTAAAAGGCCTCGTACCAATGGAGAGAGTATTATTTGATTATAAACCCATGATCATTCCCTAAATTAGCCAAATGTGAGACTTTCATCATCCAACACCTCCCCTCAAACAAAGCACGTCTCCCCTTAGTCAAGGATCGACTCATTTTTTCTTTTGGAGTCTTAGTCACTTTTTTACTATGCCTTCGAGGAGGTTAGACTCCTTTTCTTTTGGAGTCCTTTGTTCGACATTTGAGGATTTACCAATCTATTGACACAACTAAGTTTAGGGCATGACTTTGATACCATATTAGATGAACACTACTCTCCACAATGGTACGAGGCTTTTTGGGAAGTCCAAAGTAAAGTCACGAGAGATTATGCTCAAAGTAGACAATATCAAACCAATCGTGGAGAGTCGTGTTCATCTAACAGTAAAAAAAAAAAAATGTCTAATATTTGGTTAAAAAATTAGAGAGGAATAAAAAAAAAAGAAAAAGTATTTTGACCAATTAAAAACATTTTTTAAAAATATAAAAATATTGTGAGAGGACAGTTGGGAAAGGCATTAAGTAATATTCTTTTAAGAGTGAGGCAAGATTTAAGTGATAAAAAAATAATTTATTGTTATGTATATAAATAGTTGAATTAATTATAGAGTATAATATAAATAATGGGGGGAAAATAGTGAAATAAAGGGAGGTGGGGGCATTTAATAATGTTATAATAAAGGATAAAAGAGGAAATGCATGCATGGGTGAAGATTAACCTAATCACCGTTTCTAACCTAATTAATTATAACCACAAAATTTCCAATTTAAACTTAATTTAAACATTTAAAAAATCCAATTAATAATTAGTTTAAACTCTCGAAACAAGAAAACAAATGATTTTGTTTTTTTTTCTAAAAATAGTTTCTATTATTTTGGGACATATGGTTCCAAATATAAGGGCAAATTTGGAATGATAATATTTTTAGTTGGATTTGGAGTATTTTTCAATTAAAACCTTATAAATAAATAATACTACTTTTTTTTTTTTTTTTTGAGTG